CCACAAATTACTAATATCAGAAATGAAAGAAGGGACATCACTACAGATTCCATGGACATTAATTAAAAGAATAAAGAAATACTACGAACAGCTCCATTCCCACAAAATTCATAACCTAGAAGAAATGGACCAATTCCTTGAAAGACACAATCTGTCCAAAATCACAAGAATAAACAGATTTTCTGAACAGGCCTATATCTAAGATATTGAATCAGTAATTAATAACCTTCCAAACAGAAAAGCACTAGGCTAAGATGATCTCACTGGTGAATTCTACTGAAATTTTAAGAAAATTATACCAATTCTCTGCAATCTCTTAGAAAGGACAGAAGCTGAGGATAGGAGGCTAACTCATTCTGAGACCAGCATTACCCTAATACCAAAACCAGACAAAGACAATACAGAAAAAAGAAACCACTCTAGACCAATATCTCTCATGAACACAGATGCAAAAATCTTCAGTAATATATTAAGAACAATTATTTAAATTGTTAAATAAGTTTTAGGGTGACCCCTGACTGGGTGGCTCAGTCAGTTAGGCGTCTGACTCTTGATCTCAGCTCAGGCCCTGATCTCAGGACCATGAGTTCAAGCCCAGCACTGGGCTCTACACTGGGTGTAGAGCCTACTTAAAAAAAGTTTAAAAATGCTAAGTTGTTAAATTTTAAATGTTTATATTAAAGTGAAACATTAAAATTCTAAATTAAATAAATTTTAATTAGCAAATTAGCTAGATCTGGACATCTTTTTTAATTCAAAAAAAAAAAAAAAAGAAGAAGAATCTTGAGGTACCTGTGTGGCTCAGTCATTAAACATCTGCGTTCAGCTCAGGTCATTATCTCAGTGTCCTGGGATCGAGCCCCATATCGGGCTCCCTGCTCCACGGGAAGCCTCTTTCTCCCTCTCCCACTCCCCCTGTTTGTGTTCCTCTCTCGCTGCCTCTATCAAATAAACACATAATCTATTAAAAAACCAATTAATTTAAATAAAGAATTGATACAGGCTGTATAACCATCACAAAATAGGTCACACACCTAAATGTAAAATTCGAAATGATAAAACTCTTAGAGGATAACATAAGAAAAACCTAAGTGAGCTTGAGTATGGTAAATCCTTTTCAGATACACTGCCCAAAGCACAGACCATGATAAAAATAATCAATAATCTTGACTCCATTAGAAACTTCTGCTCTGTGACAGACTGCATCAAGAGAGTAAGACAAGACACAGACCCAGAGGAAATATTTGTCCAAGTTACATCTGATAAAGGAAGGCCATCCAAAATATAAACAACTCTTAACACTCAGCCCTAAGAAAACAGATAAGCTGATTAAAAAACGGGTCCAAAACCTTGACACCTTGCCAGTGAAGATGGACAGGCAGCAAGTGAGCGTGCGGGGAGAGTTGCTCCACATCACAGGTCATCAAGGGGACGCAAATTAAAACAATGACCTCGCACCACACACCTCTGAGAAGGGCCAGAATCCAGAGCGTTGACCACACCGGATGCTGGCGAGGACGTGGGGCAGTGGGAGCTCACTCATGCTGCTGGGAATCAAAATGGCGCAGACACTTGGGAAGACAGTTTGATGGTTTCTTACAAACTAAGCATAGTCCTACCACACCAATCTCGCAATCTCAATCCTTCGTATTTACCCAAAGAAGGTGAAAATCATGTCCACAAGAGAAACTTCACAGGAGTTTTTATAGCAGCTTTACTCATAATCACCAAAACCTGGAAGGAACCAAGATGTCCTTCAGTAGGGGATGGATAAACAGCCATCCGTCCAGACAGTGGGACAACGGAGTATTATTCAGCACTAAAAGGAAATGAACTCTCCAGCCATGAAGATACGGAGGAAACGTGACTGCATATTATTAAGTGAAAGAAGCCCGTCTGGAAAGGACACCCACTATATGATTCCAACTATGTGACATTCTTGATAAAACTGCAGACAATAAAAAAGATGAGTGGTTGCGGGGGTGGGAGGGATGAACAGGGGGCCCATGGGGGAGTTCTGGAGCACTGAAAATTCTCTGAATGGCATCATTCAAGTCCTTGTACATTTGTCTAAACCCATAGAAGGCACAACATCAAGAGAGAACCCCTTGAGGGGACGAGGGGTCCGTAGGTTTATCATTTATAACAAATGCACCACTGTGGTGAGTGACACTTGTAACAGGGGGTCCATGCAGGGCACAGGGCTGGGGAGGCCCATGGAAGTCTCTGTAACTTTCTCCTGATTTTCCTGTGAACCTACAACCACTTTTTAAAAATTAAATCTTAAAAATTCGCCTTTGATGAACCTGAGAACATTCTCGGTGTCCTGTTTTTACCCAGCACTGACGGCACCTCATGAAGGTTCCTGCGCCCACCGCAGGCCGGCCTGTCACACATCTCTCTGTGTTGACCGAGACACTTCATTTGCTCTGCGTGGAAATCCAACTGTCAGACTCCGAGTACGACAGGCACATTGTTTCACTACGAACAGTCATGTGGGACAGTCTTCCGGCTGGTTCACGAGGTAACCTGCCTGGGGTGAGGCCACCACCAGCTCTAAGACATGGAATTCTCTCGCTGATGTGTAGGATGCCACCTCATTAGAGAACCCTGGGTGACACATCCTGGAATGTTCACGTGGGACAGGACAATGCCCGTGACACTTCTTGAACCCAAGAGCAGCTAATAGCTGGCCCCTGTCACCGCCGTCCCACCAGGCAAAGCAGACTACTTTCAGGGGCTCTGCCTGCCGTGAGCAACTGTCCTTCCAAAAGTAACACTGCTAGACTTTTCTAGAACCAAAATAGAATTTTTTTCCTTCAAGTTCTTTATCTGAGAAGTTCTTGGAAAGAATCAGACACACAGGGGAATGTATAAAAGCAAGGAACCCACTTTCCACACTGGATTTCCACTTTGGGAGCCCCACATCAGGCACCCGGCAGGAGCACCTGGAGGCTCGATTTGCAGAAGACTAGACTCTCCAGACATTCCTGACGGCGTGTAAGGCAAGCCCAGCCCAGCCCACACCAGGTTGCACGGGGAACTGTCCAGAACACTGGTGCGCACGGAGGAGGGGCCAGACGAGCAGACACTTGTCTCGGGGTTTGCAGAAACAGTTAAGTGCAGCACATTCCTGAGCAGCTTGGGGTAAGCCTGCGCACGTTAGCAACAGGGTTTCCAGAAGGAGCTCTACCCTCACTGCGCCCATCAGACCACGGTGGCTCAGCCAGGAGCATGTCCTGCCATCGGGAGTGACTGGGAGAGAAGGTGGGATGGTGACCCCAAAAGACACGTGTACCCTGTCTCTGTGAATGCGACCTTATTTGGGAAAAGAGGCGATTTGTTTTTCTAGATGTAATTAAGGATGTCCAAATGAGGGGATTCACCCATGATTATGCAGGTGGGCCCTACATCGAATGACTAGTGGCCCCATCATAAAAGGAGAAGGCATGTCTATGGACGTACCACCTTGAACATGCTCTGTCTCGTCCAATCTTGGCAGCCAAGCAGGATCGGGCGTGGTTCGTACTTGGATGGGAGAAAGGGAGAGGATCCAGGGAGAAGAGGAGAAAGGGATGTGACCGCGGAGACTGGGGAGAGCCACTGCCAAGCCCAGGAGAGCCTGGAGCCGCCAGCAGCTGAGAGGCAGACAGAATCCAGCCCAGGAGCTGGAGGGAGCATAGCCCAGGGGGTGGAGGCCAGACGTCCTGCTGAACACCCTCCGAGGCACAGGACCCGTCCCCAGCATCCCTGGTGCTGAGCCTGGGGGACATCTGCACCAGACTGGCTTCCCCACTTTCACCAGCCATTCTCAGAGATCTCCCGTGGGACCCCCTCCCTCAGAGGCTGACAGGTGTTCAAGGAAGAGAGTTCTGGGGCCGGGGCCACTGGGGGAAGTCCACAGGCTCAGGCTCCTGTGATGCATCTGGAGGCCCTTGGCCAGGGGCTGGCTCCAAGTTTCTGGCTCAGCGATCAAAGTCAGCCTCTTCCCAGCGCCCAGAACCCTGGAGCTCCTCACACGCTCTGGCACTCCCTCCCGGAAATGCCTCGCTGGCCAGGGTGGGAAAGGCTCAGAAGTGTGCAAGGGGACAGGACGGCTGACAGCCAGGGCCGCCCTCTAACACCTCACGTAACCAGGTCATGGTGCCCGATGCCCGCATCCCTCCAGGACCAGCCAGGACCAAGATCAACATCAGCCCCTTCCCCATCTGCCACCAGACACCCAAGGAAAAAGCAAGTTGCTGGGCTGGGTCCCTGGTGCCTCCACCCAGAGCTGTGCCCACGGTGGTGACAGTCAGCGTGAGACCGAGCCTCGGGCGAGGAGTGGGCGCTCAGCACAGCCCGCACCAGGACAGGGCAGCCGGGACCCCCCTGCGCTCCCTTGGCCTGGCCTGCACCTCCTCTCCCTTCACCACTGTGGGGAGGGGGGCTGCGATGCTCTATCTCCCTGAGCCCGTGTCCTCAAGGCAGGACGGAGCACACCCTCTGACCTCTGGAGCACACTGGGGGGACAGAGCTGGAGCTGGGCCTCCGTTCGCCTCGGGAACTCACGTTCCCACACCAGCAGGCGCTGGCGGAGGGCAAGACATCCGGGACGGCCGCTGGACTCTGGCCCTCTCTCCCTCCTCCTTCCACCGCAGCTCGCTCTCCTGGCCCAATTTTTGCTCTATTTCCCAAACACTGGACCTCGGAGCAGCACCTGTACGTCTGTGCGATGGGTCTCCCTGAGCAGCCCGCTCTCGAACTTACTACTGAGCCTCTTCTAGGTGTTTTCAAAGACACTCAAAAATGACGATGCAGCTACCAAAGTAAAATGGGTCCCCTCAGCATCCCCTAGTCCCTGCCAGGGCCTGTCTGCTCAGAAATGTCCCCCTCCCATCACCCAGGGGGCAGGCCCTTGACGGCCCCCCCCCCCTGGAGCCTGAATCCCCCCCCCACCCCCCCTCCCTCCGGCCCCGAGACCCCGCCCCGCCCCGCTGGCTCCCGCCGCCGCTCCGCACCGGAGATGATGGAGTCGTTCAGCGCCTCTTCGTCCTGATATACCAGCAAGTCGTCCTTGAGCTCCGAGTTCACGATCAAGTTCTCCTTGTTCTCCTCCGACCCTCTGGCGGCGGCCCGCTTGCTCTCCGAGACCCCATCGAAGCTCCAGGCCTCCTCCCTCTCCTTGGCCCGCTCCACGCTGGACGTTCTCGACAGGCGGACGTCCGCCCGCTTCTTCGGGGACGCCTTACTGTCCCTTCCTTGGAAACTGAATCAGAAGACGGTTGGGGTTGGACGCTGTCCGCCTCCGCGCAGGACCCAGCCCAGCTGACCCGGGGGCTCGTGAGGAGACTGCAAAGGTGGTCCCCAAATGCGCGCGGCGCCCAGCCTCTGTCCCGAAGGCACGGGTCGAGCAGCCCCAGGGGCTCACGGGCTCAGGCTGTGGACAACGCGAGGTCCGGAGCGGAGTGGGGAGGGATGTGCGAGGGCAGCCGCACTCCGCACCGCACAGTTCGGGCTCCGGGATGCCCCGAGATCGGGCAAGGGTGCTGCGCTCCAGCGGCGTTTCTGCCCAGCCCTACGGGCGTCCCGTTACCTGTCCGCTTTGCCCTCCATCAATCACTTCTCCTTCTCTGTGTACCAATACGTGAGAACAAAGGTAAAAGTAGAAGCTTCAAGAGCAGGCTTAATTATCCTCCTGCCTAATGAAACCTCCAAGTCTTCAGGGTCCTGGGGCAGTGTGACGCTGCTTCTCTTCCACAGGCGCTCCTGCCCTACCTGGACCCCGGGGGGGAGAAACCCAGGGGCTTTGTGGCCAGGCTTCCACCCAAAATGTCCTCCCCCAGAATGTGGCAACCAAGACCAGAGCCCCGTACAAAATGAAAAGGTGGGGTTCTTGTCCAAAAATTAACAATTTCAAGACTGTGACAGCAGTGTACAGAGCCCAGTCCAGCGGCAGGTAGGTGTGTGTGTGTGTGTGTGTGTGTGTGTGTGTGTGTGACTACACAGGTTTGCAATACAAGGCTAACGGGGATCCAGGCACCCAGGTCTCTGTACCAGCAGGGCAGAGGGCCTCACCTGTCCTGGCGATGCTTGGTGGCCAGCGCCCTGTGCAGCTCCTCAATGACACGGCTGGGGGGCAGTGGCCGGTGGACAGTGGTGAGATGTGGAGACCCCGTGGGCGTGGAAAGCTGTCCTCGAAGGGGAGGGTCAGCGCTCTTCCCACCAGGGCCTTGGAAGAGCGCAGTCTGGCCTGGAGTGTGAGAGGGACCAGTGGGAAGGTAAGTCTCTGGGAGCAGGGAGGAAGGACTCTGCAGGAAGATAGGAGCCCAGGAGCAGAGGACACAGCCCCCGGCCGGGGGACCCTCACACCCTGTTCCAGATGTTGTGCCAGGTCCCCTGCCCCCAGAGCCAGAGCCAGGGTTCACCTCTGTCCAGCTCCATCCATGGGCCCTCCGGCCTCCAACCCCAGGAGATGAGCTCCATCGGCTCCCGGCAAGGTCTCAGGCACAGACCAGCCTCATTCCTGAAGCTCCGCTACAGATCTGGCTTCCCAAAGCTACACTTCCTATCGTGGGAACAGCACAATTCCCCCAGCTCGGCAGGGGTCACTCAGCCTGGACCCACCACCGTCCCTGCTTCCCCACATCTCCTCCCAACCCTCCCCCCGTACCTCACCCAGTGGGAGCATTAGGAAGGCGAGCCTCTCCCATTTTCCTCGGCACAGCATCTGGGCTCCTGGCCTAGTTCCAGGGCCCCGTAGGCTGCCCCACTCGGTGCTCTGGCTTCATCTCCTCCACTATCCCCATCAAGCTCTTTTCACTCTCGGACAGAAGGATCTTTCCAGTCCTTGAGGAAACCACACACTCTACTCTGTTCCCTTTTCCTGGAACGCCTTTCCCTTCCCCTGTCTGCACCAATCTCACTTCCTTGGGGAGACCTTCTGTGAATGCCCAGCCTTGTGCAGAGCCCACCATGCCTGCCCGTGGGAATCAAGGCAGCCCTGACACCCTCTCCTCCCACTTGGCATGAATTACTTCATCGGGTCTGTCCTTCTCCTGACTGCGCCTCTGGGCAGGGCGAGCATCTGCCTTTCCTACTACTGTAACCCCAGGCCTGGCACTCGATACGTGTGCAACGGACATTCATTTACATGAAACAAGTCTAAAGACTCAGAAAAGAGCTGCTCAAGTCCATCCTAAGAACATGAGGCTTCCCTCCCTAACAGATACTTTCGGAACGCTCACTCCAAGCCCTGCACGGCATTGGGCTCGGGGCAGCTAAAAGCATGGGTTTGCTCATTACATAGATCTGGCCTCCAGTCTCCATCGGCTACTTACCAGCTGGAAGACCCCCTACCCCCCAGGCTCCCAGGCAAGCCCCCTGAACTCTCAAAGCCTCAGCCTTCTTGTCTGTAAAATGGGCCAAGAGCTCCCTGACAGGGCAGCAGGAGCCCGGCAGCTGGCGGGGGCGGGGGGGGCTGGCATGTGTTACGTGTTCGTACACAGACTCGCTCCCAGACTGGTCTCTGAAGACGCAGCCTCCAGGCTCCACCAATTTGTTTGATTGGGTACAAACAAACCAGCTCCCTTCTCAGCCTCAGCAGGAAGAGAGAGAGACACACACAGATCTAAGCCACTCCGTAAAAGACAAAGCCTTTCTGACGCAATCCTAGAAGGTGGACGGTGACAATAAACGCACATGCACACGCATGCACGCGCACACACACACACACACACACACACACACACATGCCTAGAAGGAAAACTTTAAGTCTCACTGAAACATGTCATTTCTCTTTCTTCACAAGCACCAAACAGCCCAGGCCTTGTTCTCAATGGGCCTCGAGGCCGGTCGGGCGGAGCCAGGAAGGAAAGGCGGACGAAAAGCCAACACAAGGGTTTTAGGGAGAGATGGGCTCAGGCCAGGGCTGAGGGAGCAGGTGGGCTGGTGACAGGGCTCAGGCGAGGCTTCTCAGCAGGACCCGCTTAGCTGACGGACACCCAAGGGATGAGACAGTGCCAGCCAGCGTCCGACAGAGCAGGTGGGGGCTCTATCCCAAGTGTGGCCCCCAGACCATCCCAGTTGTCCACACTCCGCTAGCTCATGCCCCGCCAGCCTCCGTCCCTGCTCGTCCTGGCGACCACACCCCAAGTAGGTGATGCCCTGCCGTTGCCTGGAATCCCTGCCCCACACTTGCTAGGAAGGCGTCCCCAGCCCAGGGAGATGGAGGGGACATGCATCGCCTGTGCTCACTCAGCCGGGACTCTGAGGGGGTCTCCACACCCCATCAATCACGGGTGCACGGAGTGAGTGCTTCCCCTGTGCTGCTCCGCTGACCACTTTCCCGGCCTGTCTCCTCCAGCCTTGCCGGGGCGCCTCTCACCCTTCCCGTGTCTCAGGTGTGGAACCAGGCTCCGAAGCCAACTCCGAGTTGTGTCTCCAGGGTGTGGCAGGGGCTGGGACTGGAACGCCTCTGAGTGTAGCTGGCAGAGGCCATGGGACCCCCGTGTGGAGGGGTAGCTGTCCCCCAGCTGGGCAGGGGCAGCTCTGCCCTGAGGGGGGTTCGCTCACACGGGCCCAGGTCCAGGCAGGTGAGACACAGGTGAGTCAATGGACCTCACGCAGTTCCTACAAACAGGGGCGAGGTTTTCAGCCAGTGAGAGCACCTGCCCACCTTTTCGGGGCTGCTGGGACTCGGGGCTGCGGACAGGAAGACTGGTCAAGAAGAGCCCAACACGCGGATGACGGGTAAAGGTGACGTGGTTTCCCATGTTAATATTTAACACTTAAACGTATGTGAACGTTTAAAATGTTGGCAACCCATTAAAACAACTTAAGCCCCAAACAGACCCAGCAAAGCAAGTCTGTGAGTGGGCCTGGAGGCGGGGGGACGATTCCCGACCTCTGGTGGAGGCTGGGGGCACCATCGCAGACAAGAAAGCATCTCCTAGGGACTGGGCTTGTACCTGCTGTCCCCCTGGGTCCCAGCTAAGCCCAGGTAAGGGGCCTTTGCCTTCCTCTGCTGCCACCTAGTGCTCACACGCTGAAGCTTCCCCCAAAAGAAGAGGAAAAGAGGGAGAAGGGAGAAAAGAAGACAAGTCACCAAAATGCATTCTCGGCTGTTAAAAAGATCCAGACCAAAGCCGCCCGCCTGTACTCTCGCTGCTCCTAGTCCGCCCCCACATCAATCCCCCCGATTTCTGGAGCTCCTTGGAAGCAGAGGGCGGAAGTCAGGGCGCTGAACCTGAGGCGTCGGACCCAGAATTTCGGCTGTGAGAGCAAGCAGTCACCATAGGGGAGCTTGCGGCCCGCGGCCGGATCCGTCCCGAGCACGGCGGATGCAGGCCATCTGCAGGCCACCTCCAGAGCGAACTGCAGGTGAGCCAGAAGAAAACGAGCTGGACAGTGCCCGGTCGGATGGATTTCCCGGTTTCAGGTCTCCACGGGTGGAGAAGAAATTGATCACAGGACAGGAGCAAGACACAGGACCGTGAGATCCTGATCAACGCTTTCATCTGGGGCCCCTATCGCCAGCACCCTGCAGGCCTGGACTCCTTCACAGAGATGCAGAAGCAGGCGGGCGGGGCTCAGGACACGCATCTGCTCCACCGACAGCGGCCGCGTGCACTCACTCAGCACCTGCTGTATGCCCAGTGGGGGTCCCAGGCTGCTGTCTGGGGTCTGGTGGGGGCCGGTGGGGTCCTAGGCTGCGGTCACCAAGTCCCACCAACGGGGTAGCTCAGAACAACAAGACTTCATTCTCTTGTGGTTGTCGGGGCCAGAAGTCCAAGACCAAGGGGTCAGGAGGACTGGAGGCTTCTGAGGGCTGAGTGAGAAATGTGCCAGCCTCCCTCCAGCTATGGTGGCCGCTGGCACGCCTCAGCACGCCTTGGCTTGCAAACAGGTCACTCCGATCTCTGTCTCCCCTCATCTTCTGTGTCCTTTTCTGTCACTTGTAAGGACGTTCTCACTGGATTTAGGGCCCACATGAAGGCAGGATGATTTCTTCTTTTTCCTGATGTAATTATGTCTGCAAAGACCCTTTGCCAAAGAAAGCCACTTTCCGAGGTTCCAGATAGAAGTGAATTTTGAGGGGACACTGTTCAACCCATGGGGCAAGGTGAAGGGATGTGGCGGGTACCAGAAGGCAAGATGCATGTTGCTGCGGGGCTGGGGTTGGCACTGATGGGGGGAAGCAAGGAGAAGAATTCTATAGCGGGGGTGGGGGTGTCACAAGCCTCAGGCCCAGAAGTGGGATCAAGTCTCCATTAGCCAAGGGACCCGGGACATGTTGCTGGAGCCCCCCTGAGCCTCTGTCTCTTTAACTATGAATTGAGCATACATCCCCTCCCCCGAGAGGCTGGCACATGCATTAGGAACAGGCGGTGTGTACCTGGGCCTCCTTGTGGCCCAGCAAGAGGGACGGAGCGGCAAGGAGGGTAGAGGTCAGAGCCACTCAGGTCTGCCATCCATGTGCTCTCCTGGCCCGCGGCCCCCCCGAGGCAGCAGGGAATCATCTACTCTTCAGGAGAGTCACCTCTGACGGAAGGACCTGCTTTCTCCCCGAGACCAGGCATGTCTCCTGTTTCTATCCATCATGGGACAAGAAATGCCCAAACTCCAAAGGCAAATGTTTCCACTTCTGGGATTCAGCCAGTGTGGCCAACGCTACGGAAGTGGATGCCTTTTGGGACCTCCGCCTGGCCACGCTCCCCTCTCGGATCTCCGCCCTACAGGCCAGTGTTTATCTCTCATTCTGCCCTGCAGGATGGAGCTCACTGGGGAGACGAGACCGTGAGAGAGAAAGATGGAGGAAGAGGAGGGCATGGAGTGGGGAAGGAAGGAGAGAGGGAGAGGGAGAAGGAGAGCAACAGAGCAGAGGACACCTGAACACCCGGACAGACAAACAGACAAAGTCCTCATTCTGGGGGCTGGCTGCACCTTCTGCATGAGGTTCTGGAAGACACCTTGGACCTCTGCTGACAGACTGCCCCATTCGCTCGAGGGAGCCCAAGAGGTCTACTTCTGACAGCCAGAGCTCCTTGCTAAGAACTGCTCTCCTGCCTCCCGTTCTGCTCCCTGGACCTGCCCAGAGCCCAGACCCCAAAAGCAAAGTGTGAGAGCCCGCCCGCCGTGGGAGCCCCCCCAGGCCGAGGGCGTGCGCTGATGAATGGAAGGACGTGTACCTGCAGACCCACCTGTGACGTTTTTCGTGGTTTGGGAGCCTGCCTTGGGCGGCGGGGTGGGCAACAGCGGGGGGCTGGGGAGTTGGCCCATGGATCTCTCCAGGGCTCTGGGAGGACTGTCCAGGGAGTCAGACCCAGCTACGGCTTGAGAGGGCTCGTCCGTGGTTGGCAGGAGGCTGCCGGTGGCGTCTGCTTCTTCACCTCTGGATGTGGACGGCATCTTGGCTGGTTCAAAGGCAAAACAGAGCATTGATAAGCTACTCTTCCTCCAGCCAGGGTGGATGTGAGTGAGGACAGTAAGGAGGCTTGGGCTGGGTGGGATTGGAACAGGAACAGTGGACAGAGGGGACACTTCACCTTCAGACCTGACTTGTTGTGAGTTCAGAGGTCAATGAACTGGTGGAATTGGAAAGGGGGAAGGGGGGAGGGACAGAAGGGGAGGAGGGGAAGGGGAGGGAGGAACTTCAAGAGCGCAGGTGATTCGTCCTTTCCCCACTCGGCAGGTGGCACCAAAGTTCCTGCTCCCCCTGACCGGGGATGGTGACTATCACAGGCTTCGGAAGGAGACATGCCCAGGCTCCCATCAGCTGCTGCTCTGTGATCCCGGTAAATCACTAAAAAACCCCCCGTGCCTCCATCTACCCACACGTGACATCTGATGGCAAACACCAGGAGTCCCTCACGGGGTCGCTGTAAGGGTTAAACAGGAAGTAACGATGAGATGAGCATCTCAGCAGCTACTGACTTCACGGGTCTGGTTTTCCACAGCCCCGGCCCCTGGCATGGAGGTCCCGGCAGGTGGCACGGGAGGCAGGGCGCTCCAGCGGTGAGGAAGAGTCAGCCTGCTCAGAGCCCTGTGGCCACTCCCTCAGCACCATCCCCAAGCCTGTCTACCCCTCGGCCTTCTCCCAGTCCACGTTCACTTTTCCCTTCATCCAGGTCAAGTTCTACCGATCATCACTACACCACCCATCCCACGGGCACCCCCAAGTCCTCTGCCTCACTTCCTTTCCATTTAGCTCCCTCATGAGGCCTCTGCCCCTCAGGTCCCGCCCCGTGAGTGCTGCAGGAGAAAGATGGTAGAGGAGCCCCAGTGTCCACCACCTCTGACGGCCTCAGCTCTGCCTCAGACTCCTCCCCGCAGCTCCTCACCTCCCTCCTCCCAGGGGAAACTGAGGCCTTCGGTTGGGGGTGGGGCACACTTCTTGGCTGCCTGACTCAAACACAATGGTCCCTGAAACCCCATATTGCCTCCCTCCTCCCTGATACAGGATCCCCGTGCCCACCCGAGATCCCAGCGCTCCCTGCCTTCTCAGAACACACCCGAGATGCCCAGTACGGTGCCTGCTATACATCTCACCTTATTTATTTTTAAGACCAGCTGAGGAGGAGGACACAAACACTCATTAGAAACAGCTTGGTAGAGCAGGTCCTAAAGTCACAGTGGTTCATCCATCAGGGAGGGTCCTGAAGGGCAGGTGCTGTCCACGGTGCTGAACACACAGCACTGGCCTGAGCCCTGCCCTCCAAAAACTTCCAAACTTCACCAGTGGACACTGCACATTCCACGGGTCCCATGTCATTACCACTTCTGTCTCTTAACTCTCCATGGCTGACTCCATGGCTGGGACACTCTCATGGCAGAACACGGGTAGGCCAATTTCTGGGCCCTGGGGGTCTGGACAAGGTGAGCAGTGTATGACCTGGCCCCACGGGTTCCCTTGGCTGTGCTGCGGAGGAAAAGGTTAACAGGAAGACTGAGCAGCCTAGGTCAGGGTCCCCACACCTGTCAGCCAGGGCAGGTCCACTTGGTATGTCTCAGCTGTCCTCAGTTTAACGCAGTCCTCTTTAGCTTCCAGACACCTGTCCCCAGGTCCCGCCCATCACACTGACCACGCCTGCTCAGCCTCTCACCAGCACCACATAGGCTGCCCAGGACCCAGCCCTCAGTCCACAGCTCTAACTCTCCCATCCTGTCCTCTGGCTTCAGAATCAATCCCATCTTTCTGTCAACCCTTGACCTTCCCTCTGAGCTCCAGACTCGTACATTATCAACCACTGTGACATCTCCATCTGGAGGTCAGAAAGATAAAATGAAACATTCCCAAACCCATCTCTTGATTTCCCAGGGGAAAGTCTTCCCGAGGCTTCCCCTCTCTCACACTCATCCATCCATCATCCATCCACCCATCTTGCAAATGTCCTGAAACATTTGCAATTAACATTTTCAATCCTGAAACAATTATGGGGTCCAGGCAGCCTTCCAAGAGCCACAGACACAGCAAAGCAGACAGATCCTTCACCAGGCTTCCTACACACCAGCTGAGCAGCCACACTGGACACCCAATGCCTTGGCCCTTGTATGTAATTCACAGATAAATCCTGGCTGGTCTACTTCCAAAATAACTCCCAGCCATGTCCACTTTTCCTCCCTGTGCAAGCTTCCACAGCCTCTGCCTGGACCGCAGCAATGGTCTCCAGGGCTCTTTTTCTTCCTGCTATGCACCCTGCCCCAAATCCATTATTGAAACCAGGGGTTGGTAAACTTTTTCCATAAAGGGTTTTGCAGGCCCGAGTGTCTCTGTTGGTGCAGCAGAGTCCAGAAGGCTGACCAATTTAAACAGCAAAACCCCCCTGCCAGTGCCCAGAGTGGGTATGTGTCACCAATAGAACCTTCTGAGATGCTGGACAGGTTTCCTCCCTGTCCCTTTCAGTAGGCCACCAACCATGATATGGCCAATGAGCAACTGACAAGTGGCCAGTGTGACTGGGAAGCTGATTTTTTTAAATTTCACTTAGTTTTAATTAATTTAAGTAGTCACGCAGCCGCTGAGTTCTGTGCTACACAGGGCAGCTGCAGACTTCTGGGAGGGAGTCAATGGTCACAGCCCCTACCCCCTCAACCAGAGAGAGACTGCAGGGTAAGCTTCTAACAGCTCTATGGAAGTCCTCCCTCCCCACCAGCCCAAGGTGACATGCAGGTCCCCCTCTTCTGCTCTGAGAGCCCTGGGACCCAATACACCAGCAGGTCTCACCAAAACCCCCTCCAACATCTTCCCACAGAACTCATCCAAGCTGATCACACATGGTCCCCTATGTCCCTGATCTGTCTGGGGCTCCCCAGGCTGGGAAAGAGATGCCCCAACATCTTCTTCAGCCTACACCTTCCTCTACAGGTCATGTGAGTGTGCAGCCACCATTATAGTTTGCAATGTTGTGGAAATCAGAACATTAAATGAGAATTTAAACGTTAAATCAGAATCCGTTAATGTCTTAGTTGCTAAGTCAGGGAAAAAAATGAAGACAATGTCAGCTTTCCCACCTTCCCCACATTTGGGATCCTGCCCCGGGGCTGTTCGTGCACGCTCCCGCCAGCAGAGGTCGCTGCTCACCCGCTGCGCCCTCAACCAGCGCTTCCGCGGCGTCCTGCAAACCCCGGAGTACAGGATGGACGGAAGGGAAGGAAGCTGAGCCAAGTTTGCGCACCCGCGACTTACCAGCACATTTTACGAAATATTCCGTTACTTCCATGTGCCCCCCACGTACTTTCTTAGGCAGCGTCTGATCAACTTTTTGTTGATGTCCAGGGACAGAGTCTGTATTTTAGGCTTAGGCAGGCAAGAGACAAGAGAATTGCCTGGACACTAAGCTCCGTCCTGCCCGTCAGCCTGGGAGTGCTGTCCAGGTGGTGGGCATCCTTTGAGCCCATTTGTCACCCGCTAGAGACAGTCCAAGGCCAGGAGCGACCAGTGAGACAGGAAGGTCCTGGTGGGCTGGGGGACAGCGGCTGTGTCCAGTTCCACTGCACCCTAATGACACCTGGCATGTCCTCGGTCTCAGCCGGACAGCTGGCCACGAGGGGCTGAGCCCAGATTCTGAGCAGTGGGGAAGTGTGGCCACCAGTCAGGGAGAGGAGGTCTCCGCTTGGACTCTGGGTTAACGGTGGTGGCACACTCGAGCGTGCCGTCAGACACAGGTGGCAGCCGGGTCCGACCTAGAGCCTCCACGTCACCACCCCCACCTCTACTTCAGAAAACACCCGCACTCCTGAACATTCCAGAAGCGGGGTGAAGGTGTATCCCCTGCTCGCCGCTAGTTTGGGCTGCAGAATGTCATGGCTGAAAGCATGTCGGGGGATCAAGCTCCAGCTGGCCACTTCCGGCTCTGTGGTCCTGGATGAACAACAATCTCTCTGGGCCTCTGCTTTCTCAGCTTTAAAAAAAAAAAGCCAGGTTGTTAAGAAAATATAATGAACAAAGTACATCCTTTCTGAATGCCACTTTCCTTTTTTAATTGGTGCACTCACAGGCACACCAGAGCTCAGCCCCTGCCCAGCAACAGAAACACGGAACAGTCACCCGTCCTGTTCAAAGCTAAAACAACAGATCTTTCTCGGTTTTTTTAGGAAATGCTATGTTGCTGCTGTAACACATCCGCATAAAACCAAGAAAAGCAAAATTACCCCAAATACAAGGGTCCAAAGTCAACCCAAACCACCAAACTCAAACTGAGGGTCAAAGAAAACAATGGTCAGAATCTTTGTGACGTTTGGAGGGAACCCCCAGCGCTCCCCTCCGAACCCACACAGCAGCTGGGGGCCCGTGAAAACCACAGACCCGGCTGGGGAGTTCCCACCCGGTCAAGGAGTGCTGTCTCCAAAGCTGGGAGCTTCTTGACACATGTGTGGTCCTTCCCTCCCCCCTGCAAAGTCTGCAGAAGTCCGCTGTTTACAAAAAAAAAAAAAAAAAGCTAACCCTCCAGGACCCAGTGAACAGCACAGAAGTCCCCAGGGGGTTCTTGGGGACACAAGGCCATCCCATTCTGGGCCACTGGACATTTCCATGAACTTCCTGGATCCAAGAAGAGAGCCCAAGCCCTGCCCTGGGTTCGAGCTCTGCCCTGCTACAGTCGCTGCTCAATCCAGGTTTCTCTGTGAGGCATCACTGACAGCACAGAGGGACGGGCCACAAGCAGGTGGCTCTGTCGGGTGCTGACATGAAGGGGACAAGACTTGGTGTAGGGACAAGACTGACAGGCGAAGAGAGTCAGATCACAGCCGCCCGCCCACCCGAGCTCTGCCTCAGGCCCTGCAGACCTGGGACCCCATCGTGCCTTATCTGCGATAAGCCCCCCCTTATCTGTGGGAGACACGTTCCAGGACCCCCTGGATGCCTAGAACCACGGAGAACGCTGAACCTGACAGGTCCCGAGTCTTCTCCTCCAGATGCCTGTCAGATACGTGCAAGTCACAGCCCAGGGAGAGAGTCACAATAACTCGCAGAACAGAACCGTGATAACCACATCCTGTAAAAAAGGTTCTGTGAACGTGGTCGCTCTCTCAGAAGATCTCACTGGGCTGTGCTCACCCTTCTTGTGATGGGTGAGGCTATGAGCCGACATGAGGAGATGTGGTGAGGGGAAGGCCGCGGGCCTGGGACTGAACACTAGGTCACCGTTGACTGTCTGACGGCGTGTCAGGAGGAAATGCAGCTGCTTCCAGACAGCGGCTCCCGGTGGGGAACTGAGGCCACGGATGGAGGCAGGGGCCACTGCATTCACCACGTAAGGGTGTCCCATGGCAGCTCAGGGGCGGCTGCACAGACCAGGCTCTTGCCCTTCCCGGGATGGGCCGGGCGAGGGCGGACAGGTGGGCCGTGCAGGGGTGCAGCCCCCGGCCACGGCTGCCCAGGAACACCAGCCCCAGGGTGGGTGGGGGTGACACTGACGGCTGGAAAGAAGCCGCCGCGCATGAAGATTTGGGTGAAATCCCCAGTTTTTAAATGCTGACTTGCAATTTTTTAAGCAGTGAGTTTAAAGTCTGTTAGATTATAACGTACTCCCTCCCCGAAGGGCTTTGCTCAAGGCCAGGCTTCTCCACAGCGACCTGGGGCCCCGGGGGCGGCCAGTGCTCCTGGTGCAGAGCTCCAAGCCCCAGGGCTGCCCGAGACCCCGACGGTGACCTCCCTCCCCTGCAGGTGGACCCACATCCCCAGAACTGTGGAGGCAGCTGGGTCCTGTGTGCCACGTGCATTCGTCCCCGAGACAGGCTTTTACTCTAAGGACAATGAGAACCATTACCAGCGGCAAGCACTTACAGAGTCCTTGGGGTGTGTCAGGACAGAGTCGGGATTCCTGGGGATTCCCTCATTTTAGCAACCCTCAGAGGTGGTGTGGTCTTGTCCTCATTTACAGTTGAGAACACAGGCTCAGAGAGGTGGAGTGACGTATCCGCTGTCACACAGCCAAGCCAAGCGTTCAGCCACGTCTCAAGGCTGGGTTGGCCGGAAATCAAGCACGTTGCTCTGAGTTCCCTAACTCCATCCCCGGGTTACACGAGCTGGTGCGTCCGTAGAGCTTAGAACAGAGCCCTGCATACAACCCGCCTCCTTCAGACATTTCAGACTTTTCTCCATGTTCTGTACTTTGGTTTGCTGCATTTTCTGCTACATGAACTCACGCTTTTCATTTTAACTTCTCTATTGGGACACAAGCCTTTCACTACCCTCCACGAGAAACCCATTCGCCTCATGCTAACAAGAGCAAACATCACTGCTGAGTTTTCTAGTGCTTCTCCCGGTACCAACTACATAAACTCTCTCTCCAGCCCCAGGGACTCAGGACCCCACGGAGGGCAGGAATGAGGAGTCCAGTGGCTGGAGGAGGCCCCACACTGACCAGAGACAGTGGTCTCGCTCGCTCCCCAGGTGCTGGCCTGCCCTGCCGCCCCGTGCCCTCCCACAGGGCAAATCCACTGGGCCTCCACCTCCCTCTCCGCCGCTTGGGTTCGCCTTCAGCCCTTCTCTTTCCATCCTACCCTGGCTCTGACCACATGCACCGACATTGCGTTCTGTGGAAGTGCCATGGTCTGCCCTGCTCCCCGGCCAACCGCAGCCCCCGAAACCCAGCCTGGGGGCTGCTTCTGCAGGGAAGGCTTGCGGGCAGAGCCATGTGCCTTCGTTCCAAGTCTTCTGTGGCTGCTCCTGGGCTACATGGAGAAGGGAAGCAGTTTCATCAGGAACCTGACACAAAGGGGACAGACACTTCCGTGGCCGCGTGCAGAAGCAGCTTGAGGACTCTGTTTCCAGTCTCTGCAAGGTTCCTCCCCTGCTCGGGGATGCTCTTTCCTGCCCCCTCTGCCCGGCCAACGCCTTTTCATCCCCAGCTCCCAGGCTCAGGGAGGAGCCCCGCGGGCACGCCCACGGTCATGGACTTCGCCCAAGGGGGTCTGCAGGTTTGCTCACCTCCTCCCATCGCTCGGGGTCGGGTGGGGAGGGAACCCAGACACGTTCACCATTATGAGCCCTGACCGATAGCACATCCTACCTGGAAGAAAGTCCTTAATACGAACCTGTGCTCTCCACAGACCAACTCTGCTCTCAAGAACCCCATCTCTACACACTGAGGTTGGCGGGTGCCGAGGTGACCGGGCGCAAAGAACTGGCCGCAGAGGAGCCCCGCCCCAGCAGGGAACCGGGAGCAGCACCCCTGCAGAGCGGGAGGCTCTGTGGCCAAGGGAGGGGCTCACCAGCCACCCCTCTGATGGAGTCTGGGGCCTGGAGACCCCAGGACAGTCCCAAAGGTCACAACCCTTCAGACCCCAAACTCCTACAACATCCCCAGGCTGGGGTGGAACCGGAGAGACATAGGCACCCCCAGGAAAGGCAGAGCAGAACTCTTGGCCAGGGTCCGCCGACCCTTGAGGGGTTCCGCTGGCCAGGGCCATTGGGGAAACACAGAGCCCTGTTGGCAGAGGAAGGCCGCAGGGAAGAGACGCCCACCTGCCTCCGAAGCCCGAGAACCCGGCGGCCCGTCCACACAGCCAGACTTCCAGCCTCCCGCAGGGGTGGAGACCAGGCCTGACACATTCATAGCTGCCAACGTCCCGGGGAAAAAGACCACCCCCCCCAACACATTTTTCTATAAAAAACTCCACTCCCAGGTCTGAAGAAGAGCGCTGGGTGTTTCAAAGCACCAGGGGCTCCCGGGTGGGCTCGTGTCGAGTGACCTCTCCACCTTCCTTTCCTCCCCATCTGCTTCCTCAGCCGTCGCCTAGCGGCCCCAGCGAGGACCCAGGGCGACTCCTCTTACCTCTAAACAACCCTGAATAGGAACCACCACCTTTCCCACCTCTTGGAGGCTGGAAGGCGGGGGGGCTCCGAGCAGCACCCACAGCACGCCCCACGGAGGCGAGCGATGAGAGAAGCATCCGGCACCCCAGCAGCATCCCCAGGCCCCGGGTGCCATGTGGCAGGCACGGAGGATGGGCGCTGCCAGGGAGGCAGCCCCTGTGGAGGATCTGGGCCACTAGGGAGGTCCCTCTTCCTCAACCTGCTCCACAGCCTGGGGCTCAACTAAGATGCTCCCACTGGGCCCTTGGTCCCTTGGAGAGAATTTTCCTGTTCTAAAGTTCCCAGAGGCATGCAGCTCTGTCCCAGGAAGAATGAAACGCCTTTTTGAGGCCCCTGTGAACGTCTCCAAGCACCTACAACCTGCTGACTGTGCCAGGCTCATGAAGACCAGGAGAGAAAAATGCTCTGGCGAGTGTTGAAACCCAACCACAGGAGCCGAGAATGCTACCCCAGGGGGCCCCCTGGGCCGACGGCTGTCCCAACAGCAGCTCGGCCCGGCACGGTCATGGCCAGTACCTGTGTCGTCACAATGGGAGTCCAAGGACAGCGGCTCGTCTAGGGATGAGGCGTCCGTCCCCGTGGCCAGAGGACTTCCGGGTGGGGCTTCATCGGAAGTCAGCGTCTCCTGCTTGGGGGTGGAGGGCTCGCTCTGTGCGGCCCGGGGCCCTCCATCGGGGCTGCAGGCTTTGCTTTCAGCATCTGCGAGGAAATCCAGCCATCAGCCGAGCCCCCATCTCCCTCCCTACGTGCCTTCACTCGTGCGAGGGGCCTTCCTGGGAAGAGTGGCACCCCAGGCCCCGGCATGGTACCCCCATCTCTCCCCCACACCTCCCCGGACTCCCTCTCCACATCTGGGCTTCCTAAGGAGGCCCAGGCACTGCTGTACCCCCAGCCCCCCAGCCTCTGTCCACTGCCTGCCCGCAGGAGACTGGCCATAGCCCCCGCCCACATCGGTACCCCCATGGTGCCCCCCGTTCCCATGCTGGCCTCTACCCTCTGGTTTGCTTTGGCCAACGGGTCCTTGAAGCAGCAGTGACTTCAGAAGTGCTCGCACACCCCCACAATCGAGCCCCCCCACCGGCCTCACTGCCTGGACGGGCTGGGCCCAAGGGCTGGGGACAAAAGGCAGATGTACAAAACGGGGCTGCTCTCGTCCAGCCAGCAGAGACCGGCCCCAGACGGGAGGACACCCACCGACGGCTGTCTGCCCTGAGGAGCTACGGGGATTATAGAGCATTCTCATGGCTACAGGTAACCGGTCCATTTCCGTGCCCACTGCTCCACATCAGTCCCCTGGCACACAAACCGCTATCACCCACGGTGCGCCCAGGACTGCATCCACCCCAGGAAGGCGGCGGGGAGTAAGAGTCGATCCCTGCCCCCGGCTGGCTCCCGCTAAGGCACTGGAAGCCCAGGACTGAAGCGGGTCAGAGCAGGGAGTCCATAAGTGCAGATGGGAGGCCTCCGAAGAAACGACCCCAGGCTTCCGGGAGGACTGAAGGGAGGGCTCCGTGCTTCCCCTTGTTTGGGGTGCAGTTGCTGGAGCCCTTGAGGGTCTGGCCTGGGAGGGATCGTTCACCTCCAGCACCCGACTTAACTAGGAGGGCGTGGTGCTCAGGGACACACCTCGTCCAGTCCCACAGCCACCAGATGGCAGGTCCGGGCTTAGAAACAGCCAGCAAACGATAACCACCTCCGAGATGCAGAGCAGACTGGGCATGGAACCCCGCACACCCCCTCAGATGCCACATGGCGTGCACGAGGCCACCCCGTGCAGAGCGGCACTGCGGGGTCATGAGCCTGGTCTGGGACCACTGCCTCCCATCACTGTGGGGCCTGGGGCGGGTGCTGACCTCAGATCAGCGCTCCCTTCACCCCACCCGCTGCCTTCCGGGCCTCAAACAATGTCCCTTTTACCCCCAGAGTGGCACAAGAAGGAGAAGGTCTCGCTCCCCACGCGTCCCATCCCACGGCAGGCCTCTCCGGCTTCCACTTCCTCACCTTGGAAAAGATGGGGAGAATGACGTCACTGCGGGCTTCATGGCACCCCTGTGGGGATTAAGTGGGTGCGTCTACAAAGCACCCCCGCAGAAAAGACGCCCTGTGCCTGCCACGACCCTAACTGCCGCTGATGAGCGCTGATGGACAGAATGCCCCGGCCCCAGGCTGGGGGCAGGCACCCAGGTGAGAGCAACGGGCTTCCCCCGCAGAGCCCTCACTGCACCCAGGACGTGGGCCCAGCCCACGCATGTGACCCTGCAGGGATGGGAGTGGCCGCCATGGCCCAGCAGCTCCTCCCCCAGAGGCCACAGCCCTCTCCCCGGGAAGGGCAGAAATGTCAGCTGGCCGAAGTCCGGAGACCTGCTGCTGCGAAGGGCTCATCTCTGCAGCTGTGTCCCCTGAGCAGAGGGCCCAGGCGAGGGCTCAGCAACCTTTCCCAAAAACAGAGCAGAAGGCTAGTATTTTAGACTTTGTGGCCCACATGCCATCTGGCCCAGAAATTGAAAGTCTTCAATTTTTTTATTTTTTTATTTTTTTTATTTTTTTATTTTTACAAAAAGCGCTCTAAGTTTAAAAACCTTGACTCAGCCCAAGGGCCTTCCAAAAACTGGTCCTGGGCCAGGTCTGGCCTGAAGACGAGCAGCCACAGTTCACCAACCAACCCGACCCAGGAAAAGATGCAGACGCCAGCTGGGAGAACACAGCCAGGGGACACGATGAAAGGTCACAGAGCTCAAGCTCAAAACCGGGCTTTCTCCCCTCCCTTGCTCAGAGCTGGTTTCCACGTCCTCGACACACGGCCGGGATGGGCTCTGCCCTCAGCTTACGGGGTCAGTGGCACAGAGGCCGGCCAGCACGGACGGCAAGCTCTGCCCCACCAGAGGCCCAGCACGGGCACCCCTCAAGCACTGAGTCAGACGAACGCACACCTTTGCCAGGCAAGGCTGGAACCCGCCATTTAGAGAGGCGGACTCCCGGTCTTATGAAGGACAGGCCATCTCCTGCCAGGGACGACCCTGCGGTTTGTGCCAGTGACCGCCCCCTCCCCGCCGTCATCATCACCAACCAGACCGCGGTCAGAACGCTGAATCAGGAGGCCCACGGTCCGCACCTGCCCCGGCCCGGCTCTAGCAGACAGGCCATGGCCGCGCCCCCACGTGCGCCCAGCTCGGGGCACCTGTAGGACTCTTCTGGACCGTGCTCAGAGCTCCCGTTCACAATCCTGTTCAATGAAAAGTTACAGTTCCCAAAATAGCGCTGCTGGCAGGGCCGTTGCTAAGGAACGCCGGCTGGGGCGGGGGGAGCTGTGGGTGGCTGTCCCCTGGGCCTCACCGTTCAGCCAGCGCTCCCTCCCAGCCCGTGCTGTCAGATGCCCACCCTGCCCCTAGTGCTGCGGGGCACCCAGTGTAGCACCTGTGTCACACGGAGCAGCCACCGGCACTGCCACTCGCGGACACACACGCACACACACGCACGCGCACACACACGCACGCGCGCGCACACACACACGCGCACGCGCACACACACACGCACACACACGCGCACACACGCACGCACACACGCACACGCATGCACGCACACACACGCGCACACACGCACGCACGCACACACGCACACGCATGCACACACACGCGCGCACACACGCGCACACACACGCGCGCGCGCACACACACGCGCACGCACACACACGCACACGCATGCACACACACGCACGCACACGCATGCACACACACGCACGCGCGCACACACACGCACGCACGCACACACGCACACGCATGCACACACACACGCACGCGCGCACACACGCACACGCACACACACGCACGCGCACACACACGCGCGCGCACGCACACACGCGCACGCGCACGCACGCACACACACGCGCGCGCGCGCACACACGCGCACGCACACACACGCACGCGCACACACGCGCGCGCACACACACACGCACGCGCGCACACACGCGCACGCACACACACGCGCACGCGCACACACACGCGCACGCACACACACACGCACGCGCACACACACGCACGCGCGCACACACGCGCACGCACACACACACGCACGCGCACACACACGCGCGCGCACACACACACGCACGCGCACGCACGCACACACGCACGCGCACGCACACGCGCGCACACGCACACGCATGCACGCACGCGCACACACGCACGCACACACGCACACGCATGCACACACGCACGCATGCGCACACGCACACACACATGCACACACGCACACACGCACACGCACACACACGTGCGTGCACAGGCTGCCCCAGGCGTCCCTGCCATACAGAACCACACACATGTGATTTGTCACTGCCCAATCCCCCCCTTCCCCGCCAAGAAAGGAAACCTCGTGCCTCCCAGGTCACCGAACACAGCATCAGGGGGACAACCATCTCTCCCGTGGTAGAGGACGAAATTCCTTCAGTTAGGCGAAGGCCAAGTGCACACATGCGGGAAGATGGAGGAACGTGCAGGCCCCTTACTGGCTGCCTTCGGGCAAGGGACGGAATGGAGGGGCCTGGGGGGGCGCTGGCTGGCCCCATCCATCACTGAGGAGTCAGAGGAGTGTGACCAAAGCAGGGAAGATGGGCGCGCGGGGTGGGGGGGTCACCTCCTTCCTCCCCACCCATGCCTGGTCCACCTCCTCTGTCTTTTAACAGCAGCCACGGGTCCCTCCCAGGTTCCGACAGATCACCAGGCTTTTCGGAACAAGAAGAGGGGTGGGTCAGGCTGTTGATATAACGCTCGGGCTCCTAGGATCAGAAGACAACAGCCCCAGAGAGAGACATAGGCTCGCCCCCCACCAGGCCCCCCCGCCTGGGAGCACCGCCTGGGAGCACCACCTGGGAGCTGCTTATTGCTTTGTGGGCCAACTCCCAGGTGCCAGGCATGGGGTTCGTGCTGGCCACGGAAGCTCAAGTGTGAGGTCTGGGGCACCTCTGCGGCGTCCCTGGCCAAGCCCGTGGTCACCGTCCCCCTCCCCGCCGGGGGCCAGCAGGGCGCAGGCTCAATGACGCGGCCCGCGGCAGGGAGGCACTCGGACTGCAGGCACAGGCCTGGCCGAGACGGGTGGTGGCCACCAAGGAGTCCTTCATCCAGACCCAGGATGGGGAATCACGCCCCACCCCTACCCCAGACAGAGGCCAGCAGAGTGGAGAGGCTCACCGCTCCGCTCCCAGCCCAGAGCCCAGAGGGGGCCCACACCCTGACCAGGGATTCTTAGCCACCCGCAGAAACACTGGGAAAAGCCAGGGCCGGCCTCCACCCCCAGGGCAAAAGATGTTTTTTGAGCCCCGGCAGGGCAGAAACACCAGTGCGGGCTGGTATTCAGCCCAGGGGGCTGCTGCCCCACACGGCCCGGATCCCACTGTCCCTGCCGCTCCGGGGAGGGCACACGCAGGACAAAGGCCCGCAGAACAAGAGCACGTCCCCCTCCTCTCCCTGACCGCAGGCCCCTTCCCGGAAGCACCCCTACCACCTTGCTGACAGGCCCCCCCTTAGCGACTCCCCCGGAAGGCCCACTGCAGACCCACTCGGCCCACACCCTGCTCGGCCCTGGGCTTATCACCCACCAGGAGTGCAGGGAAGAGGCCAGGCTCTGTGGGACCTGCCCCCTCTCCAACCTCCCTGAACCTCACCCACCTTCTCCCCTTCCACCGCTGGGCCCGGCTCCCGCTGCTGCTCGGGGCTGGAAGATGGGCCCCACCCCCACCCTGTGCTCTCCAGCTCTCCGCTTCTCAACCCTGCTGGCACACGGCCGGGGGCAGCTGGGGGGCTTATAAAGCGCAGGTGCCCGCATCCCAGCCCAGAGCCGCTCGCGGGCGCACTCCCCAGGTGACGGTAACGAGCAGCGGGCTCCGGAGCCCGTTCTGATGTCCTGGGGTCCCACTGAGACATCACGCCCTGCCCCCCGGGTCAGGTAGGGGCCTCGCGTCTTGTTCTCCGGGCGTGACACAGCTGGGCTGTGACTTTCTGTTGGCCTATGGGGTTACTGACTGCGGCATCCGTCCGGGAGCGCATTTCCAACCCCTGAGGAGGGACGGACGCTGTGTTGGACCCACCTGGCTCGAGGCTCATAATCACTCAGCGGGACACAGTGGGATCTAGCGTGGGTGGTTGGTAAATGACACGCCGGGAGCCAAGGCCGGACACTGCCTGCTCCATGTGGCCCGTCCATCCTTCAGCTGACATCTTTTAATGGGGCTCAGAGTTGAAAAAAAGCACAGCCCTCCTCTGCAAGGCCCCCCTTTGCTTCTCTGACAGGAATCAAATCCACACCTTGGCTTCCCCTTCATTCAGTGGCCAAAATAACTTCTACGATGGGTGATAAAGAGGCCTTAATGCGGTTCTTATCCTCCCTTCTCTTCCCTTCCCCAAAGTCTGCAGGAAGGTCTACTGGCGACATATTCAAAATGCGGGGTTTAGAGCTGCGTTGTCCCATCCCGACTAAAACAGTCCAGACTTCCATCAGCAACGACAGTATCCCAAATCTGAGGGTCAGACATTCAACACCTGAGCGCCACAGCACCCGGGACAAAGCACCCCACTCACACGTGAAGTTCCATCCCCTGAAGGAAGCGATTTCGGGGGCCGGTTTCCCAGGAACGTGGCATCATGAAAACCCGTCCCTCTGCAGCTGAAGAGGAGAAATGAGGGCAGAGGCCGAGCCCGCTCGCACCGGGACCCCCACGGACTTCCTGAGGCCCCTTCCCAGTCCCGATGCCGGGACCAAGCCATAAAAACCCTGGACACGGAAACGGGAGTTCCACGTGCCCGCACAGCCTTGGGGAGCTGACGGCACGCCGCCAGGTCCCCCGGTTGGGACATGAGAGCTCCCGGCCATGGCGAGGTCTGCTGACACCTGCGTCTCCTCGAAGGACCAAGCACGGAAGGTGTGTGTGAGGACCCGAGCCCTGTGGCTCATTACCCCTGAGCGCGCCAGAATAGGCGGGAGCTCCAGAACATTGCGAACGACCGGCCAGCAAGCACACGCCCCCGTGGTGAGACCTCTGGAGCCGTGTGGACGGTGTCCGGGCCCTGGGCTGCGTGACCCCAGGGCAAGCCACCCCAGACCCTCACGTTCCTCATCTGTAGAGTGGGGTAAGCACCAGTCCGGGGCCTGGGGGCGCAGGGAAGGGATGGGACGGGTCAGCGCCCAGGACACCGTCGATGCTTCCCAAGGGTGACAGGGTACGAGAGGGCCTCGTGAGTCAGAACCACCTGCCCGAGTCGGGGATCGGGACGGAACTCGAAACGAAAGCCAACGCCACCAGCTTGGGGGAAGCAGGACGGAGGGCCGGCCTGCCCCACCGCCAGGCGTTTGACGGCTCTCAGCTCCAGGCCGGGTGCAGAGGTGGCCCGGAACCTCAGGACGGGCCTGACAGGGAACGGCCCCTGGGGAGACCCTGCTGGGGCCCAGCCCCTGCATCTGGACCTGGGCCCCCCAATAGCCCCTCCGCCTCCGACGGGCCTCTGGGCCCCACTTACCCCGCTCCATCATCTCCAGCAGACCCTTCTTGATGAGCTCCTCCCGGCCTTGCCTGCCGGCCATCTTCTTCTCCAACGCTGTGCAACACACAAACGTGCCAGTGAGTCACCACGGGGCCCGCCTGCACCTCCTGCTTAAGCAGGGGACTGCGGGGTCGGGGGCCACTGGCAGGGGCCGTGTCCAGGAACCCCAAGCTTTCCTACTATGCACTCTGCTGAGCATCGCACAGCCCCAGACGCCCCAGACACCCCAGACTTGAGGCAGGGGGATCGCTCTGCTGGACCATCTCCTTTCTCTGTCTAGGAAACGATTTGCCTACAAAAGAACTCGGTTTCAAATACGACCCCATGCAATTCCTCAAACCCTTTCTTGGAAAGATGCCAACTGCAGCCACAAACCGTGATCACAGAGGGCATGGGGTCCCCCACGCATGCAAGCACTCTACCTGGTGAGGACGGCAGTGGGGGACATGGAACAGAGCCAGCCCTTCCCTTCGGAGCTTGAAGACTAGCGGCAGAGGACAAACAGGTGATGGCAATGAAGTTATAGATTTAGAAATACTTACTGAGCATCTACTATGTGCTAAGTGCTGAGCATGCACTAGGGAGTCCCTGGGGAGAAGAACCAATGCAGCCCCCCACTGCCCAGGGCTCCAGGAGGCTCTAGGAGGGAGCCGGCAGTGATAACCGGGCTGTTCTAATGATCAGAGCTAGTAAAGCGTCTACTGAGCGCCTACTTTGTGGCAGGCATAGGGCAGCAAGACAGGTACAGCCTCTACTTGGGGACACCAGACAATGAACATCTACAAATGAGCAAGCGGAATGACCCAGAACCTGAGGGACAGGGATGGGGTCTGGGAAGCCCTGGCTGGGCTGAGTGTTGGGGCTGGATTCCCAGCGGGTGTTCACGCTGAGAGCTGAGCATGAACAGGGAAGACCCGAACATTGGGAAAAAGACATTTTCAGGCCAAGGGAACATAATGTCCTTTCTTAGTCCAATCTCCAGGTGCCGGAAATATGCACAAAAATGAGAAATTGAGCCCTGGCTTTGGGAGGTGTACACAGAGCGCCTGCTGTCCCGTCTAGTAGACGGGGGTGAGCAGAACCAGGGTGGAGGTGAAGACCCAGGGGGACCCATGGTCTGGGGGCCCTGCCCACAAACAGGATGTCACCCGCCCTGACTCCTGAGCCTCCCAGTGACCCAAAGAGGCCACTGCAAGGGTCTGCTGTCCCCATCTCAGGGGACTGCCCAGAGCACGTTCCAGCTCAGGGCCCACAATCCCAGACCACAGCCTCTGGGAGCCGTCCTTGCAGTGCTGCCCCTGCTCGCCCTTCCCAAGCCACTGTTGGCTTGTTTGTCTCTTTAAATCACCTTTAGATGTACGTCATGCTAGCCAGCACCGCCTGTGAGGTCAGTAATATACTGAATACATGGGAATAAACCCCACGCTCATGGGGAAGAATGATTTAGAATAAACGAAAGGCAGCCCTGATCCCCAGTTTTCCAAATGCCGGCTGCAGGCCCCCAGGTGGGGACCCCACAGGTGTTTACCTGCAGACCTCAGCCCACCTGCAGGGGTCCCACGGCCCGTCACTCCCCCGTAGCACGGGACTCAGGGTGTGGAGCCCACAGACTGTGCAGCTCAACCCTCCAATTCTACAGCCCAGAGCACATCAGGGGCTCCCAAGGTCACAGAGGTCACCGTGCTCTGGTCCCCTGTGCCTTCCCCAGCTCAGTACCTTTGCGTGAGCTATTCCCTCTGCTACAATGCTGTTCCCTGCTTTTCTCAAGGAGCCAATCATGCCTCGGCTCAACGGTGCCTCCTCACCTGAGACTGCTCAGATCATCCAGCCCAAAACGAGGCCCAGCCCACCACACCTCCCCCCCAGCACCTGCTCAGGTCCTCCGTGGCCCCACTGGGGACCGGTAACCTCTCCAGGGCTGGAGCACATGCCCACTGGCCTGTTGCCCCCCTTCCCACTGGGCAGAAAGCGCTGAATGCTCAGGTTCCCCATCTACTTGGTGCCTGGCACACAGCAGGCAGTCAGCGCTCCTGCAGGAACCCTGCTCTGCCTTCAGTCTCGACAAGGAGGACTGCTCAATCAGCCTCTTGGGGAGTTAAGAAATAATTTGTAAACTGTGTAACAAGTGTGAGCGGAGGGCCTGCTGCTCCCCCCACCCCCATCGGCTCTGTCTCCGCGTCCTAAGAGCTCTGGAATCTGCAGGGCTCCACTAGGAGCTCTGGAATCTGCAGGCTCCAAGGATGGGAAGGAGACCGGGGCCCCGGGGACCGCTAGAGACAGCAGCTGGAGACCAGCCCTTCCCAGGCTGGTCCCCAAGGCCTCAACTAATCCCACATGCACAGCTCCCTTGTTAATGGTTTTCAGCCATAGCTAACAAGCACGTGCTCCGCAGTGAGGCCTGGCAGGAGCTGAGATGCCGTCCCCCCTGGCGTTTGCTCCTCAGGGCACTGACCTCCCTCCCCTTCACCAAGGACACCCCGTTATCCAGGAATCAGACCTGAGCCAGGCTGCCAGGGGTCACCCCAGCCTGTGGCCAGCTGGTTCCTGGACCCTGGGCCGGGCTTCTCCCTTGGAGCCTGGGGCCCCTCCCTGAGGTGGGTGGGGTCCCGGGAAGGGCACTGGCCTGCGGGCTGGTCCTCTGTGTTTACTTGGTCACTTTGCCACCGTCAGCTGTGTCATTGTCCCCACACCTGTGCTCCGTGGTCCGGCTCCTGCTGTGGACGCTGGGGGGCAGGGGCAACGGTACAACCCGGCGCAGCCCAACTTCCCACAGAGCCAGGACTGTGAGGATGCCGCCTGCGGTGAGTGAGGGAAGGAAGGTTCTGGGCCCTTTGCAGGGAGAGCGCTGGGGTGGGAGGGCCCGATAGCCAGCCTCTCTCTGCAGGAAGAGCTTAGGAGCCCGGAGCAGCTGGCTCTGGCTTCCAGTAAGAGCCCGGATGAGGGCCTCGACCCTCCAGTCACCCAGAGGCCTCCTAGGGAGGGCAGGCCCCAGTGTTGTCAGAGCGTGGTCAGCAAGGACACTTGTCCCAAGCCAGCCTCCCGGCCCCGGCCTGCAGGGACTGCGGGACTGCCAGTGACTTGTGTGCCCCGTGAGTCTGGGCGGTGAAGGGGTTACAGGTGTGCCCGGTGCTGACCAGCCCCAGTCAGGAGGTGACCCGGCAAGGCTGAGTAGCTCCTGCCATTGGGGCCCATGGAGCTCAGCCCGCCCTCCCGTGGGGGCTTGGTAGGCAACGTCAGCACAGAGAAACACAGCAACTGGGGTCCCACTCCCTGTCCCCCACACTCACCAGACGTCGTCTGCTTCAGCTTTTCGTTTTTCTTCTTCCTCCATTTCCAGGGCTTGAAGATCCTGCCCAGGGTGGCCAGTCTGCTGTTCCTCCTCACCGGGGGGGTTCGGATCCCTGAGACCAGATACTCGGAGCGTGCTGGGGGGGCCTGGTCCATCTCATCTGGAGGGAACACCAAGGAGGGGCTCAAGTGATTACCAGCCCTACATGGCTCCATGGGGGGGGGGTTGCTGAGGTGACTCCCCTCACCCAAGGAGCCACCAGTGACTCTCCAAAGCCTGGGGCTCATTGCCATGGGTGAGGACCCACAGGAGGCACATACCAGCGCCTGAATTCCTGTGCCCCCTTCTAGGGAAACCCTCCCCCCGGAACCCTTCTGTGGCCTGCCAGAAGCCCTCCCCCAAGTTTGCACTTGGCCACAGCAATTTGAAGACTTCTCAAATTCCCCATGAAATCTCTCCCACCCCAGGACCTTTGCTCACGCTATGCCCTTCACCCGTGCTGCTCTTCTTGGCTTCTTTGCCCTGTCAACTTCAGCCACTGTGCTAAATCTGACTTTCTCTACAAGGCTGCACCTTCTCCTGCCCCAGACAAGGTGCAGAGCTTTGCCTTCTGCTCCTGAAGCTACTTGTGCCAGCATCGAGGAGTCGCAATGGTTCCTGGGTGCCTGCCCTCCAGCTCAGCTGTCAGCTCTCTGCCTTGACCCTCAGCTTAGGCCTGGCCATGGTCCTCACTGGAGAGCCATGGAAGGAGTCGGTCCAAGAACAGGCCAAGGAAAGTAGCTCTCCTTTGGATCCTTGTTCAGAAAACTATGCTGTTTTCGCACTCTGTGGGACAGGTAGACATGGACATCCAAGGACACTCGTGGTGCCGAGACTGGTATTATCAACAGGCACTGGCTAAGTCACTGATCATCCCTCCCATCTGTGACCCATGTATGGACATGGAAGGAAAGAGAGCAGAGAGGCAACCAGGCCACGATCGATTGCTAAGTCAAGAAAATCACACGCAGCATCACACAGCACACGCCAGCAACATGCGTGAGGGGGTCGTGCAGAGAACACGGCTGCGCGGAACACGTCTGCAGGGCCCTCAGGCCACGGGGGACATGCGCTACTGGGGGCCTGGGAGAGAGGAAGACATGAGCTTCACGACTGGCCCTTCGGGAGTTTATGATGTGTTCACGTTCGAAGAAAGAAGATTCGTTAGAATGGGGAACAGTGCAGCGGACAAGATGGAGACATCAGAGCAGCGTGAGGGCAACCTGCGCCGCCCCCACGACCCAACGGACCCCGTCCACCGGGTGTGGCTAAGGCCGAGCTCAGGCCAGTGCCCGCGAGGACGGAGCAAGAAGTTTCAGTTGCCCCAAACCTCCTGGCGCAGGGAAGGGGCCTTTCTTCCAGCAGTGACGAGGCTCCAAGTGCCCTAAGTTTCAACCTTTCCGTGTCCCTTGGGCTCACGTTCACACACCCGTCAGTGCTCCCCAGTGTGGCCGCTGGCACACGTGCCCGACCCTGGCCAGGACACTCTGTGCCGACGCGCGCACACACACACGTGCACACACACGTTGCCCAGCACACATGCTGCTCCTCACAGACGGGGCGGGGGCTTACATGGAGCCAAGAAGCCCCAGAGGGACCGGAAGCTCCCGGCAGAGCAGGGCTGCAATGAGGGGTCTCAGGAGGGTTGTCAGCAGAAGGAGGCCCCCAGAGGGGCCAGGCCCTGTGACGGGCTGGTCGCCGTCAGAGCTAGCCCTGTGCCTCACGTGACAGGGGCCCCAGGGACACGCGACCCCGGGGAGCGGCAGTCAGATGATCCCCAAGGTCTGACACCTATCAGTAGCCCAAGGCTCATGGTAAGGCACCCGCAACTTTGGCCTCAGTTTCCATGTCTGTAAAATAAAGATACTGAACATCCCAGATGCCTTGTGTTGAAAGGAAGACTCAGGGTGACCACAGAGACCGGAAACTCAGGTAAACACATTCAACACAAAGTTCACTGAGAGTATGTTACAAACCCTGAATAATAACATTGTCTACGTTCTAAGGCTCTGTAGACACACTGGTTACCGTACCATGCTGGCGTGGGGGGGTCTCCTGGTAGAAGTTTTCCTGGTGGTTTATATTATACAAGGAACTCGAGAATGATGATGGGGTGAAAGTCAGTCCCGGCTTGTTCTGGGTCAGGGACAACCTGACTTCCCCTCACAGTAAATCTGTAAATTACAGTAAATCTGTAAGATACAGACTCATCCATTGCACAGATGAGCACACTGAGGCTCAGAGCCGTGGGCCATCCTGCGGACTCACAGAGCGAGGAAATGCTGGAGGTCGGCATGACCTTGAGCAGTGTGATTCCAGAGACATCCCCCCCCTTGTATCTCTAATCTGCTTCTAGGGTGACTATAAATTTGTGCCCAGAGCAGGACACAAATGGGGAAGACACCCACAAAAGGCACAAACCAGGATCGTCCCAGCCCACCAGGGTATGTGGCCACTCTCTCTAGCCATTACTGTTAACTGTACAGCGGAGACCGTGTCCACGGTGGCTGACAAAGCAACCCCGTGTGGAAGAACAAGCCTAGGGGCGACTTGTGGGAGAAAGCAGCTCAGTTGAGCTCGTTTTCGTGTGTGTTCCCAGCACCCCACGGGGCGCAGGAAGCATGGGTGAGGGAGGGAGGGAGCAAGTGAGAGGAGCCCCAGGGCATGGGTCACAGACTCCTCCCACCACCGTCTCCCCAGCTCTGCGCTCCAGGCCTCCAGGCGCAGGAAGCAAACCATTCCCAGAGGCAGTTCATTCCGCGTTATTATTCTCTCCTTTCCTTTCCACCCACAGAAGCGGCCAGAGCCACATGGCCCGGAAGGCTGCTGTCCTGCAGGCATTTTGGCACAAGGGGGAGAGAACAGGCCAGGTCCCCCCAAGCCTCCAGGCTGGTTGGAGGAAGAAGATGAAGATCCCCAGAGAGGCGCCTGGGGACAGTGCACTGTTGTCATCACTTGGTTTATAGCTCACAAAAGACGGGGGGCAGGTACCAGAAACAGAGGGCCCACAAGATGAGCATCTGCAGAAATCCAAAGGAAGGGGGTTCTGGGCAGGACCATAGCACCCAGGGCTTAGAGATGCCACGAGGGCACAGGAGAAAGGCACACTTGGGGCTCTGAGCTTCCTAGCAGCCAAAGCAAAAAGGAGCAGCACACAGAGTAAACCACAAATCAGACCCCAAATCCCACCCCATTGGCTACCCACATCACCAGGACTCCGGTCCAGGCCACCAGCAGCTCCCCCCAGATGCCCCCATGGGTGTTCTAGCCAGCCCCCTCCCACAGTGCCCCCACCCCTTTAAAAACAGAATTCTAGTCACACCACTTTTCTGCACGTTCCCTGCCCTTTCCCTTCTCCTGTAGCACAAACAGCAGCTCGATCACCAAGCCAAGACAGCTCCCCACGTCTTCATCCCGCCCCCACCCACTCACCTCTGCCACCCTCTGCCCCGTGACTTTATCATCGTCATCGCCTTGCAGTAATGTTTCTGGCGTGCTACGGAAACCAGTATGGTGCAGTCATGCGGAACACAGGGGCCACCACCAGGAGTCTGGGCTCACATCCGGGCTCTGTCTCTCACAGATGGGAGTGGACATGCTGACCCCATCTCCTCCCTGCACCCTCGCGCCTCCCACGGCCTTGCTGGGGAACTGAGGGTGCCGCCCCTCCCATGTCCTTGCCTGGGGCTCGGCCACGTGGCCCGCTTGACTCCCTGCTCTCCCCACCACACCTCTGTCCCTGGCGGCTGGAACGCGTACTTGGTCCTCACACACAGCGGAGCACAGAAGGGGCCCTACTCAGGGGCTTGAACCTGACCCAAAATTCGGAAGGAGCCCCTGAGGTCTCTTCATCTCCATTTACCAAGTATCCCACATGCTGGGCCAGGACAGACACCTTCATCTGAGCAACTCCTCGGGGGCCCTGCCGTCACCAGGGAGCGAACCCCAGGTGGCAACAGGCTCCAGCACCCCTCCCCCGCACCCCGGAGGGATGTCCTCTCCCTGCCACCTCCCCCAGCGGGGCTCAGGCCCAGGGACTGGCCCAAGGACAGAAATTTCAGAAGAGACACTGTAGCATCCAGCGAAGGAATTCCTTACCAGCACCTCGAGGGCAGAGAGGGCATCAGTGAGTCACTGACTGTGTGCGTGGGGGTCCGTGGGAGCAGAGGCGGGTGTGCGCCCTCCTGGGCACAGAGTAGCCCCCACACACTCGAGGGCACACAGGCGTGGCTGGGGCCAATGTGGCTAGTGGCGTGTCTGGGGCCAATGTGGCGGGCGGGCGTGCTCCCGCATGTGTGTCTGCAGAGGGCAGGCCGGGCTGGGTGGACGTGCGCGCCGACCCCGTCCCCCACCCGTGAATTCAGACTCCATCTCCCTGGGGCTCGGGAGGAAGCCGTTCCCCGCGCCGGGAGGCTCCCGGAGGTGCAGACGCGTTAGCAGATCCCTCCAGCCTCCGAGTAACACGGTGCTGCGCCAGGAAGCATTAGCAGTTAATTAACGGAAACTGTTTCCCCACCGCCGCATGCGGAAGTAAAACAGGCCGCCACGGAGCGGGCAGGGGCCTCCCGGGGCTCCCGAAGGAGGGATGGGGCTGGGGCCCGCCCCGCTGACACGAGACGGCTGGAGCTAAGGGGGCAGGCCCCAGCCCGCACCCCGGACAGCGCCAGCCCTCTCCTGGTCCCTGGTGCCTGGCCCTGCCCACCTCCCCCCACCAGTGGATCCCACAGACGTGTGGCCCGGCGCTGTTCTAGAACAAGGCAGGGAAGGACGTCGATGCCCCCGTGACTGAGCTCACTGGGCTTCCGGCTAACTGTCCTGCCTGGCCCGGGGTCAGTGCCTCTCCTCATGCCATCCCCTCCATGCTTGCTCTGATGGCTCTTGGATGTCGTCCTGGGGCGTCCGTTGATTGCGGCCGTCTGTCTTTCCCACCGGAACGAACAGGAGCTGTGGCCATCTTGCTCCCCGCGAGCTCTGGGAGGTGGAACCACCGTGGCGGGAGCCTGGACCCGGTCCCCGTCCGTCTGACTCCAACGTCCCCTCCTGAGTGAGCTCCTGCTTCCTCATCTTCTATCCACTGACCTCCTGTCTCTCTTCCTGCCCTTCCCCCTTCCCCAAAACATG